TTTGTGTAGACATGACTCTGTATGTTTTTTAATGTGCCTCTAGTATGTTGTCGTTCTGTCGTTTTCGTGATCTTACTACTGATTCGTCTCTTCATATTGGAAGGTTGATCTTGCCGTTTTTTACTACTTTATTTGTTGTCATTCGGCTTATGTATCGTTCGGTTATGATCGTTCCATTTTACTGTTCTATTTCTTACCCAGTCCTTGATGTTTTTTCCTTGCATCCACGTTGTATATTATGTATTTCTAGCTATGTCCCACAACTGTTTAATGATGAAAGAGAAGAACTGTCATTAGAAATCACCGAGGATACCGGACCACCAATATTAAGAGAAGAAGTCATCAATGCCATCAAAAACACAAAAGAAGGTAAAACTACTGGACCAGATGAGGTGCCCATCGAATTATTAAAACTCATCGATGAAGATGTTATTGATGTAATGATTGAACTCTTTAATCTAATATATCAGACTGCCACAATCCCCAGACAATGGCTGCAATCAACCTTTGTAGCAATTGCCAAAAAAACCAAGTTCAACAACTTGCTCAGACCACAGAACAATAGGTTTAATGCGTCACACAGTTAAAACATTTTTGAAAATAATTCACAGCAGAATTTTTTAAAACTCTTGAATATGAGATTAGTGACACACAATTTGGCTTTAGAAATTGTATGAGTACAAGAGATGCTTTGTTCGGCTTAAATGTGCTGGCTCAGAGATGCATGGAGATGAATCAGGATATGTACTTATGTTTTGTAGACTTTGAAAAGGCATTTGATAAGTTCAACATAAAAGCTTGTAGATATATTGTTAGCTTGTTATATAAGCTATGTAGATATAGACAGCCAGTACACCGAAAATATCAAAATACAGAGAGGAGTCCGCCAGGGTTGCGTGCTGTCCCCACTACTTTTCAATGTCTACAGTGAAGAGGTATTTCAAGAAACGCTCTTAGACTCAATAGAAGGTATATCTATCAATGGAGAAGTTTTGAATAACTTACGTTTTGCAGACGATACAGTAATAATTACGGTTAACAACAATGATTTACAGAACATAATGCAACGCCTTAATAAACGCTGTCATGAGTACAGCCTGAAGATAAATAATTTAGAAAACTAAATGCATGATCATGACTAAATCTGCACATGCAAATATCCAATTGACTATTGAAGATACTGCAATTGAAAGTGTTAATAACTATAAATACTTAGGAACATGGATAACATCAGATGTAGACCAAACCAAAGAAATTATAAGACACGTATTGAAATAGCACGTACATCATTTATTATACTTAAAAAGCTTCTTTGTTGTCGGGATATAAGGTTAGAACTACGCCTGAGAATACTTCGATGTTACGTGTTTTCTACTCTTCTTTATGGTTTGGAAGCTTGGACACTAAAACAAGTTCATCTGAATAAGTTGGCCGCCTTTGAATTTTGGTGTTACAGAAGAATTCTACGAATATCATGGATTCAAAGAGTGTCAAACATGGAAGTAACTAGAAGGATAGGAAATAAGGCGGAAATAATATTAACTATTAAAAGAAGAAAACTTGAGTACTTGGGACATGTGATGAGAGGGCAAAAATACGCATTATTACAGCTTATTATGCAGGGCAAAATCCGAGGAAAGCGAAATGTGGGAAGACGAAGAATATCCTGGCTTAAGAACATAAGGGAATGGTTTGAATGCAGTAGTGCAGAACTTTTTAGAGCGGCAGTTAACAGAGTCCGCATAGCCATGATGATTTCCAACCTTCAATAGAAGATGGAACTTAAAGAAGAAGAAGCTATGTCCCATAGTGTTTCACCATCGAGTTTTTACATCACTGCTGTTTCTACAACATATTTTTGTACTCTCTGTGTCAGGTCGTGTTTCTGCCGAGTATGTCATTATTTTTCTGATGACTGTTTTGTAAATTCTGCCTTTCATTTCTTTTTGATATTTTAATTCTCCATAGGTACTGTTTCATGTAGGCAGCTTGCGGTTCTGTTTGCTCTGTTTACTTGATCTTCTACTTCTGTTTTGAGCTTGTCGTAGCTAGATAATGTGAATAGATTCATTGATATTTAAACTCCATCACTTGTTGTATTACCTGACGTTCCAGATCTCATTTACATAGAGTAAGTTTTTTGTTATAACCATGCATTTTGTCTCTATTTTTTGGGAAATTAACATGTTCAATTTTCTGAACTTATATCATCCTTCAATTCTTCACTTCATCACTTTTAGAGAGTAGTATTCGTTGTCTGCATAGTAGATTATTTTAAGTTATTTTTCTTCTATTTGTTATCCTTTTTTAGTTCCCAATTTTTTTTATTCTTTCACGTAGGAATAAGGTTGAACAATAGAGAACTCAGGGAATCTTCCTGTCCTATGGTATTGCCAGATTCAATAGTGCCAGTTAGTTCTTCTTTTACTTTTACTTTTATTGTATTGTTTAGGTAGATATTTTCAATCGTTGTGAGAGGAGAGATCATTGCGTACAATAAGTGAATAACGTTCTTTAATTTGACCCAGTACAATGTCTTCTTAAGGTCCACGAAACATAGATTTGCCGGTTTATTTTACTCGTCTTCTTAACGTGCCTTATCAAGTCCCCTTGACATTGGAGATTAACATGGCGAAACTGTCTCTGTCTCGAGCTATTCTAAAGAGTAGCTCAGCTTTCCTTATTCCTGTCCACTCCCTGATATTCTGCAACAAGAGGCCTGCTTTCTACCAATTCCTCTGCGTCCTTCGATTTACCCATCATAATAGTTGAAGAATATTATATCGGTCCTCCCTTACTACGTGTCCAAAATAGGCCATCTTTCTACATTTGACGTTATCAAGCAGCTCGCGAGCAGCATTTGCTCTCTCAAGGACTGATTATTTTACTTTATTTATTTTACTATAATGATTTCTATTCCACTTGCCTAATTATAAATATAATTAGGCAAGTGGCAAAAACCACAATTTTTAAAAATTTGCACATGGAATTTGAAAACTATGGCAAGGAGTGGAAAAATAGACAATGTCATTCAAGAAATGGAAAGAATGACCATTGACATAATGGGAATAAGTGAGATGAGATGGCCCGGAACAGGAAGCATTGACAAAAAAGATCACAGAATATTCTACTCAGGGTCACTAGATGGAAAACTAGAGCATGGAGTTGGTGTGATAATAAGGAGAAAAATTAGTAGATGTATTTAAAATTTTGTCCCAGTGTCCAACAGAGTAATACTACTGCAAATAAGAGCCAATTAAGTGAATGTAAACATAATACAAATATACGCTCTCACTGCAGATAAAGACGACGAGGAAGTAGAGACTCTCTACCAAAGCATAGAGGATATATTAGAACGAATACCTAAACATGAAGTCAGCATCATAATGGGGGATTTCAATGCAAAACTTGGAGCAGAACGGAAAACGTCTCTAATCGGACCTTTTGGGTTAGGACAAAGAAACGAAAGAGGTGACAGACTAGAAATATTCGCAGAAGATAACAAGCTCGTGGTTCTGAACACATTTTATAAACTACCACCTAGGAGATTGTATACATGAAAGGCACCAGCAGATAAACCCCATAATGTTATTAGAAACCAGATAGATTATAATATGGTAAATAGAAGATTCAGAAACAGTTTTAAATCTGTCAAAACATATCCAGGAGCGGACATTGAATCTGACCACATACCTTTAGTGGGAGTCGTGGATGTGAGACTGAAGACAATATAGAAAAAGTCTAGACCTAACTACGACATAACAGCCCTGCAACATCCGGAAGTTAAAAAGCAAGTGGGGGAATATATTAACAACCAAATTAAACAACTAAAAGAAGAAAATAACATCCAACGAGAAATCAATCAATTCGAAGAAATAATTAAGAAAACTAAACACAATCTGCTAAAACCAAACAAAGAAATAAAGAAGAAATCTTGGATGACTCCAGAAATCCTTCACTTAATGGAACGCAGAACGCAGGTTAATTAAAGGAAATAAAGATGAGTATAAAAAAATGCAGGCTTATATTAGAAGAAAAATAAAAGAAGCTAAAGAAAAAGAAGCTGTAGAGAAATGTAAAGAAATGCATGACAATTTTAATGTACACAAAAAGGTAAAAGAAATAACGGTACTTTTAAAAAGCGAACACAAATGAAACTCATAGACACCAATGGAAAATTAATCATTGACACCCAAGAGATGAAAGACAAATGTTGAATATATTTGGAGTCACTTTTTCAAGACCAAAGAACGGATTATAGGCATCCATTTTCAAAGAGGATGACGGGCCCGGACCAACTTAAATCCGAGGTAGAAGAAGCAATAAAACGGATGAAAAGCAGGAAAGCTGTAGGGCCTGATAATATCGAAACTGAATTTTTAAAACTCTTGGAGGAAGAAGGAATAATTTGGATCACGGCTATCTTCAATAAAATATACAATACAGGAATCATCCCTGATAAATGGCTAGAATCAGAATTCATAGCGATACCTAAAAAACAGGGGGCTAAAAAGTGCGAAGAATATCGAACGATCAGCCTAATGAGCCACATGTTGAAACTGTTTCTTAGAGTCATCCATGGAAGAATGAATAAGAACCAGTGCTGATCAGTGACATTTTATCTGGTGTACATAGACAAATTAACCCGGTTTAATTTATTTACGGCAGTTACAGACATAATATGCACTATTTTATTCGTACTTTAAGTTAAGGAATAGACAAAATTATTTCAAATGTACTAAATTATTAATATCTAAAAATTTAAATTACAGTTCTGTCGTAACTTGTCACAAATTTCTCAGTTCGAGTCTGTTTCCGTCTAAAACATGGCGTTCGCGTGGCGACAAACTTCAAAGGCGGCGTCTGAGAGTGGGCATTCTGATGGTTTATTATTCTGTGGTTAAGCTAAAAAAGTCAAAATGTCATATTTATAGACATGCGGGATTTCTAAAATAAGCGAATAAATTAATATCATATTTTAACTCAATATACGTTTTTAGGTTATCCAATAAGAGATCTTAATGGCAGATATCATACCGGTTTTACAATTGCCCAAACGACCAATAGAAATGGATCAAGAATGAGCACAGCCAAAGCATTTTTAAGACCTTTCGTTGGTAGAAAAAATTTGCACATTCTCTTGAATACTACAGTCACTAAAATATTAGTAAATAGCAAGACCAAAGAAGCGTATGGTGTAGAAGTTTTACGCTCTGGAATCAAGAGTTCAATTTATGCTAGTAAAGAAGTAATAGTATCAGGAGGTAAATACTTACATTTTTATGTGCTCGATTATTATGTATACTATGTATTATGAAATATTAGTGTACAATTTTTTTTTTTCAATTAGGAGCTGTAAATTCACCACAGATTCTCCTCCTTTCTGGTATAGGACCAAGGGAAGAGCTTAAAAAGGTCAAAGTTCCCGTGGTTCATGACCTACCCGGCGTGGGTAAAAACCTTCAAAACCATGTAGCCTTTTTCATAAATTTCTTCCTTAATGATACCAACACAACTCCATTAAACTGGGCTACTGCGATGGAATATTTATTATTTAGAGATGGTCTTATGAGTGGGACAGGTAAATAACATATATTATATACAAATGACATTTTTTAAATGATACCCAATTGTATTTTTTATATTTTTTTGTTGTGTAAAAAATCTGCAAATAAATTAAACACCATGAATTAAAAACAAGCAAAGGATCTGCACAATAGCCTATATACCTTAACATAACAGCATAAAAGACAAAAATAAGAAATTACTACAGGTAATTAAAATAAACTAACTAAAATAATACTACTAAATGATACTACTACATATGCAATCCACATCACATCACAATTTTACGTCATAGAAAATTGTCTAAGCTTGCGAATCACTTACAAATAACTTGCAACGCACTATTACAGTTTATCAAGACGTTTATAATAATACCTTTATCCAACTCTAAATTGATCTTCTGTAGCCCATTCGGTAATGGAAACGGGTTTGTATTTTATTGGACTAAGATGTCAGGTTGAGTTTACCGAAAGTACAAGCTGAATATAGCCGCAAATATCAAAAATATTTCGGTTTAGCAGTGTTGGCATGTTTTTGTAATGCGTGTGTTGTATGCTTCAAGTATAAAGAGATAAAGCTTTTAAAAAGTACATTTTGAATATACTATTTTATGAATTCTGCAATTTTTAATTTATATAAAGCCATAACGAGTAGATATTTGTCTATTTCGAGATTAATTCTAAACATATGTTGTAATCTGGCAACTGCTGAACTCATTGTTGTTTTATATAAATAAAAAATTGCAGAATTCATAACATAATATAAACAAAATGTACTTTTCTAAAGCTTTATCGTTTTATATATGAAGCATACAGTATCTACATTATAACAACATGCCAACACTGCGATACCGAAATTTTCTGTTTCATGTTTGACACTTGCGGCTATAATCGGCTTGTACTTTCGGTAAACAACTCAACCAGATGTCAGATTTTTATTAATTTAACTGTTTTATTCAATGGATATAATTTACAAGATGGTGGTGTACTATATTGTATACAGAAATCAACGAGAACCTATAGACATTACACCTCATATTATATAGCATTTTTCATATAAAAAAAGCTTGTACGTCATTTAATATTTACGTCGTCAGAACCCCACAGTGTTCCCAAAACATCAGAGTAGTTAGTGAGGAATTTTTAAAATATCAACTATTTTTCAAACTATTGTATTAACAGTAAATAGACTTAAATTTAAGACTACTGCAACACATTAAAATACATAAGAAAACATTTTAATACAAAATTATATATTCTAAATTGTAAACTTATTTCTTTTAGTTCTTTAATAGTAAAAATGTCCCACCATTATTTCTTGTTCAAAATGATATGAAAGCTTATCAGCTTTCTACAGACTGTTTATTTGTTTTGGCATATCATAATCACAATACACAACAATAATTAGTTTTTAAAGCTATTAATCTAAATTTAATATGTATTAGTAAATACAATTTATTAATATATATTATATTATGATCAAATTGTGTAAGAAATCAAAACATAAACAAAATTCCTACTCTAAAAAAGCATCAACACTTTATACACTTTTGCTACACTCTTTTAACTGTCAATAAAATTTAAAGTATTTCCATATCAGCTGCGTACAATTGTCTAATATATTTAATTAAATTTATTATTTTGTGGAATATTAGACTTAAAGAGTTATTTCATAAAATTTATATTATTAATAATAACAAATGTTTTTGATTATTTATTCAATATAATTCTAGAATTTCCAATATAATGATGATTGCATTTTTCTGATTATTACACCATGTTGACGCCTATGAAAGATCGAGCAGTTCCGTATGGGTTTCGTATTATTAGCTGTGTTAGGAAAATTTGAACTCTAAGGTTGATGTTCTGGAAATTTTAAATACAAGTGACGTCACTTTGTATAAATCGTGACGTGCAAGTGTTTTACTTTGAAAAATGGTAGAGATATATTGGCCATTGTAGTGTCTAATTTTACTTCCCTCGTACTATTTTGAGTTTAACGAAATGTAGTTATTACCTACATTACAATCTAGTTACAATAACGGGTAAAATTATAAAATTTAATTATGTTTTCAGGTATTTCTGAAGTAACTGGCTTTATCAATACTAAATACCAGGACCCAATGGAAGAGCATCCAGATATTCAGTTCTTCTTTGGCGGCTTCTTGGCGAGTTGCGCTAAGACTGGCCAAGTAGGAGAAAGAACTGATAATAGTTCCAGATCAATGCAGATTATTCCAACAGTTATTCATCCGAAAAGTAGAGGTGTGTATCAATAAAATTTTCAATTTTTTATTCACAAAAATTTTAATTAACCGGTCAATGTCTTATATCATGTTTAAGAACAGTGAAGGGTTTTATAACAATCCCTTAAGTTGGTGAAGCAGATTACACATTCCGTATTCCTCTCAACAGAAATATGTAAAATTCAAAGAGGTGTCAGACAGGGTTGTATACTATCCCCACTGTTATTTAATTTATATTCAGATAGAATATTTAAAGAAGCGCTGCATAATTTGGAACGGGGCGTGAAAGTTAATGGAATTCTGATAAATACAATCAGATATGCAGACGATACAGTTATTTTAAGTGATGAAATGAATGGACTACAATGCCTTTTAAATGCCATTGATACAGTGGGAAGAGAGTTTGACCTAAACATAAACTGTTCAAAAACAAAACACATGGTGTTTAGTCGTTTAGCACATCAAGATGCACGATTATAATTATGTTGATGGTCATATAATTCAAAGAGTGTCCAGTTTTAATTATCTTGGTTGCCATATTATTGAACACCTAGATCCAGATCAAGAGATAAAATGTGGAATCGAGATAGCCCGCACGACATTTTTAAAAAATCATTCTTTTGTAATGTTAACTGGCAACTTCAACTTCAAAAGCGCATAGTTAAATACTACATTTCGTCAGTCCTCCTATACGGTGTCGAAGCATGGACATTAAAAATATCCACCAATAATCGTCTGGAGGAAATGTGGCTGCACAGATGTATACTAAAAATTCCATGGACGGCTATGCTGACAAATGTGGCAGTCCTTGAGAGAGCAAATGCTGCTCGCGAGCTGCTTGATAACATCAAATGTCGAAAGATGGCCTATTTTGGACACGTAGTAAGGGGAGACCGATATAATATTCTTCAACTCATTATGATGGGTAAAATCGAAGGAAGCAGAAGAATTGGTAGAAAGCAGGCCTCTTGGTTGAAGAATATCAGGGAGTGGACAGGAATAAGGAAAGCTGAGCAACTCTTTAGAATAGCTCGAGACAGAGACAGTTTCGCCATGTTAATCGCCAACGTCAAGGGGACTTGATAGGGCACGTTAAGAAGAAGAAGTATTTCTCTCATAATACATGGTGATAATTTGCCTGTTTTGTCAATCACGCAGGCTAACAGTGACCTCACCAGAAAATTTTCCCGTTGAGCTCATAAGTAAGGTGGAAACTGTATTCTAAAATACCAACTTGTATTATTAGAATCATTTCACTCTATTTCGTGTGATGGTTATATTATTTTAAAGTGGTGATTGGTAATATTTACAAAAGATTGTATAAACGGGATATATTTGTCAGAACAAAATCTGCGATTCCCATTTCTGGGTGCAAGTCTAGATTTTCAACCACAATATTTGCAGTTGCTCCAAGGTTCAAAAGCGTTTTCTCCTTCTTTTATATTATTGTCTTGCCATTTCTATATTTATATACGGTACGAATATCCAGAACTAATAGAAATATAAAAAAAAATTAAATCCTCTGTTTAAACACATTTGCTGCTCGACCGATAGATTATTGTAAATTAGCGGTACTCAAAGCGGTCCCGAAGACCCTCTGTTCTCCCCAAAATTCTCCGGTAAGGCTCCATGCACAGTCATCAATACTGGTATTAAAGTGGAACATATAAAAAATAAAGTTAACTAAGATCAAAATAAACTACCAAAACGAAATGTCGACTTTAAAAATTTACTATATTGTTAAGTAAACACCTGGACTGTTACATCGAAATGTTATACATGCGCCACCATTAGCGCCAGGACTATAAATATTTGAATGATCTCGGTTCATTGTGCAGCTTCTGATTGACGCGTACTTTAGAGAAAATCGTCTGGCTGCGCTAAGTTTCTAGGAAATTCGAGTATTAAGAAGTTATCCAGATTATATGTGCAGATTGCGAAGTACGTGGCAAGGAAAAACTACAGAACTACAGAAAGTGATAATAAGTAAAGTAAGTAAAAAAGTATATTTTTCTTCACCTTATAATATATCGCAATATCACTGGAAGGCATGGCCAGGACGAAAAATGACATCGTAGTTTCGATACCACCGAAAGTGGTTTGACAAAACGTTTACCTACTTATCTATTCCGGGCTATCAAAAACGAAATTATTATATTAGTCATAATTGACTTAAGTAAATCCCATTGGACGTTTTCGAAAGTTTTTTTATAATTTACAGAACAGATTTCAATGTAGGACTTTTATTCTCTTGCATTTTTGATTAATCGTCATAATATTCAGAGTACTTCCTTCTTTGTTCTTCTTTTTCTTACAAATCCAGCATACTCGGTAAACTATTTTACATTAAGGGTAAAGGTAAAATGGCTGGTTTAAATAGTAAGAAATAAATAAAAGAAAACAAACACTAGAGGCTGAGAAAATCGTAATATAATAACCTGTAGCTATTGATTGTTTAATACTTTAAATAAACAACTAAATGCGATGAGGGTTGCGTACCTAGTAGGAATAAAATATACATAGACCCGGTTACCCGATGTTTATGAACATGAAGTACCTAGTTAGAGTTTTCTTATCATGAAAGAATAACTTCTGTAAGTCCTGTGAATGTTTTTAAGATCTTTATCATTGAATAGTTTTTATTTTCACTTGATGTTTACGAAATTTTGCTCCCAAATGGTTTAAGTATTTGGCAAATTTGATGAAACTAACCTCTGTTTATAAACTATCCTTTAAAAACTTACTTAATCTCCTAATCCTAAAATATTTTTATAAACCAACCCCTTACCGAATAAGTTACTGTGATGTATGACAAAACTTTATTTATAATTCTTGAATAATTCAGAGAGAATACAATATTTTATTTGTAATCACGTTTATTTGTAGTTCTTTCACATGTCTTCAAATGCTGTAAGTTCCTTCAGTCGGTACCGCTATATATAAGTACACAATTAATTAAAATCCCAGTGCAATTTAAACAAAAACTATATACTAAAATATTAAAATGGATTTTTTTCTTATATTGCTAAAATTTTATGGCACATCCTTCAAACCTACCAAAGAAGTATCTCTACTCTTATCCATATTCAACAGTTTTCCTATATGTATAATATCTCGGTAACGGAAATACTGTTTGTTATTAACTCTGTAGAGTTTATAACAGATAATGAACATAATCTTGGTCAGTCACAGCAAAATAAGAACTAGCTATGCAGGTCATGAAGATTAGGATACTGGAATATATGTTAAACACACCCCTCCGCGATCATGTCAAGAATAAAGATATCAGGAAAAGAATGGGAGTTATCACAATTACAGATAAGATGTGGCAAAAATCGACTGAGGTAGTATGAACATTTTAGTGTTTAGCTACGAGAGGTTTGGAGTAAGAACAGCGATGCGGCTAAGACCTGAAGAACGCCGACCACGAGGGTGACCTAAGATGCGCTGGCCTGAACCAGGTAAAGACAACTAATTAAAATTACGAAACATGCAACAGTGCGGGACTAACACTAGATGTCCGGGATGCAAAACAAAAATGGTACAGCAAAAAATGTTTTGAAATAGAAGAATTGCAAAAAAATAATGACACGTTTAATAGGTACCAAAAGGTAAAAGAAATAACATATAGATCAACTGCAAGTAGTTTACTTAAGGATAAACAAGGAAATATTATAGTCAATGAACAAGACAGATTAGAGAGGTAGAAAGAATTATATTGAGGAGCTGTTTGCTGGCAATAGAACAAAAAATCAAATCGAAAACATATCGACTGGTCCAAACATAACACTCGATGAAATGGAAAAGCTATAAAGCTACCAAAGAATTGAAAAGCAACCGGTCCAGATGAAATTCCAAGCGAAATAATTAAACCACTCGACGATAAGAGTAAACATTCCCTTCTAAGCCTCTTCAATAAAATATACGAAACAGGACGTATACCAACAGACTGGCTACTGGCAACATTTATAATGATACCGAAAAACATAAATGCCAAAGAGTGTAGCGATCATCGCACTATCAGTCTGATGAGTCATGTGCTGAAAATTTTCTTAAGAATACTGCACTCGAGAGTTTACAACAAAATAGAAGTACAACCAAAGAATATAGACGCATGTGCGTCTATATTCTTTGGTACAACTAAGTGAAACACAATTTGGTTTCAGAAACAACCTTGGAACCAGAGAAGCACTCTTCGGTGTGGAGGTTATGTTTCAAAGATGTAGAAATATCTAATAATCGATATATATGTGTTTTATCGACTGCGAAAAGGTCTTTGACCGAGTAAACCATGACAAACTTATAGGTGTCTTGCAATTGGTAGGAATTGATGACAGAGACTTCCGTATTATTAAAAATTTGTATTGGCATCAATGTGCAAACATACGAATTTAACACAACACGACGGAACCAGTGGAAATACGACTTAGAATGAGGCTAGGATGTAATCTATCGCCTCTATTTTTTTATATCTACTCCGAATTTATTTTCAAAGAAGCCTTAGTTGAAGATTAGTTTGAAGTTAAAATTAACGGAATTAATGTCAACAATCTCAGATATGCAGATGACAGGGTAGCCGAAGCATGTGATGAATATCGGCTAAAACTTAATACTTCTAAGACAAATCTTATGGTTGTCAGCAAAACGGAGTTACAACTAACGAACATCAGAGCGTATAGAATAGAGTTAGAAAAAGCCCACAACATAACCTATTTGGGCGCAAATAGGTAATGGCAAATAGGCAAAAATAAATAAGGATACGCATTGAAAAAGCCAGAGCAGCCTTGAAAATTCTAATTAATAGAGATATTACGTTAAACATTAAATTTAGATTAATACGCTGCTACCTATTCTCCACATTGCTGTATGGTATGGAGAGCTGGACCCTTACAGAGACATTAATGAAAAAAATGGAGGCCTTTTAGATGTGTATTTATCAACGAGTATTGCGGGTAAGTTGGGTTGATCGAATAAGAAATGAAATAGTTTTACATCGAATGAAAAAGAGCACAGAAATAACAAAAACGATAAAAAATTTAAAAGTTACAATATTTTGGTCATGTAATGGGACATTCAGAGAGGTACAGTGCGTTAAGTTTTGGATTAGGTATACACTCTATAAATGGCAACACTGCGCTTCGTCGACTTGCACTACATATCTGCTTCGTTGACTCGTCGTTGCTCGTCGCCCGTCGGCAAATTTGTCATATTGTCATTATACCGTGGTTGTTTAAAGGTATAACACCGTAGAGTTTTAATTTATTTTTGTAAACATGTCTGTTTATATGGCCGCGGAAAAAGCTCAAATAATAAAATGGTTTTATAGTGGCAATTCTGCGCAACAGTGTGTAGATTTATTTTCTGTGTTTTTTGAGGGAAGACCAATTCCTTGTGTACAGTCAATTTATAATATTGTTAAAAATTTTGAGAGTTGTTATTGCCTCAAAAATTGCAGAAAATGTCACGCTCGAGAAGTGTTACCAGAAAAAGTTGAGGAAAGAGAATACCGGGATACACAAATTTGTGCAACAATCGAGGTAGATTCAACACGTTCAAGTAGAAGCGTTGCTAGAGAGTTAGATGTTAGCAATGTAACTGTAACGAAAGTATGGAAAAAGCACGGTTACAAGAATTTTAAATATCGAAAACGCAGCAACTTTATCCAGACGATTACTTTCGAAGAATGGAGTTTTGTGAAACTCTAATAACGAAGGCTAATAGTGAACCAAATTTATTAAAAACATTTTATTCACTGATGAATTTTCTGTTTCGTTAGTAGGGAGACACAATCCTTCCATTACGAGGTATTAAGCGGGAAAACCAGCACAGAAGTGTTGTTTACCGAACTCAATGTCCTCAAAAAGTTAACGTCTGGACTGGCATTTTAGGAGACCACATAATAGGTCCATTTTTTTATTGAGGGCAACTTGAATAGTAGAGTATACCTCGATTTGTTACAGAATCATGTTCTTCCCGCTATTCTCAATCTTCCTGATGTAAATCTGGAGAATGTTTTGGTTTCATCAAGACGGCTGTTCAGTTCACAACGCTCGAATTATTAGGGAGGATTTAAACAATACTTTCCCGAATCGAGTTATCAGTGGAACAGGCGATAATAAGTGGGCTGCGCGATCTCCAGATCTTACACCCATGGACTTCTTTGTTTGGGGACATTTAAAATGCATTATCTACGCTCATCCTGAGGCTTGAGCCCAAAATTTGGATGAATTAAAAAATCGAATAAGAGAAGTCTCCAATTCTGTTACAGCAGAAACTCTTTCATCTGTTCGCAGAAGTTTTTATGACAGATTGGGGTACTGTTCAGCCGTAGAAGGTCAACTATTTGAACCATTTCTGTAGGTCATAAAGAAATATTTTTTATTTTATTAGGAATAATTTTTTAATTTTTTAATACCCAAACAGCACAAGTACGTCCCATGGACGTCCAAAGGATGTACCTCATTAAATGTCCGGACATCCTACGGACATCCGTTTACATAATTTGGACGTCCCCGGGACGTACAATAAGACCTAAATGTTACCAAAAAGTACGTCCCCTGGACGTCCCAGGGATGTTCATGGGGACGTACATAGTACATATACAGAACTTAATACGGACTTATATAGGACCTAAGAAGGATGTATTGGGGACATCTATTGTACGTCCACATGGACTAATATAGGACCTAAATGAGGATGTATACAGGACCTAAAGGAACTTAAAATTAATAAAATGAAAAGCAAAAATAAATGGGATATTTATTGTGTACTTATGTATATTAACATATGTATTTAAATTTATAGTATTTTTTAAGCACATTACTCCCACTTACTTTACAAATATAGCAAAACACCACAACCACAAAAATTACCTATAAAAGTCCTATATACCTACTTAATGTCTATAATAATAAATTACCAAACTATAAACTAGTATCGAAAGCAATAAACTAATTCTAATTACAACCACAACCACAATGATTATAATTCGAGAAATAAACGAGATAAATAGAAGCGTCGTTAAAACATAACCACATTCATCTTTTATCTCCTAGTTTTTAAATTTCAGTTCCACTACAGAACAACATTTTAGAGATACAGCTCTGCTGTAGGATAAAGATTTTTCTCTAAAAGGAGCCTCTGTCTGTTTTCGTATAAATTAATGGTATTTAAAACTAAATATAACTTTTTAAAATAAAGTTTAGTAGGAAGATTATATTTTGTAAAAAATATGCTTAAGTAAAAAAAATGACACAGTTAACACCTAGAAAACGTCCATAATACATCCCTAATGGGACGTCCCTTGGACGACCTTATGGGACGTCTCTGGTATGTCCGACTAGAAATCGGGCGTCCAAAAGAAGTCCCGGGACGTTTGGACCTTAAAACGACATAAAATGGACGTCCCAGGGATGTCCTGTGCTGTCTGGGTACAATAAGAGTATATTTTTTATTTTATCTTTTTAAAGAAATACGCTTTTATTTTTAATTAAGCCACAAAAAAATTTTCACATTAATAAAAATCGATAACAATGCACCGATTAGGTCAGTGCATTTTTATCGAATTTTCCTACTATTAATATGGGCTTTACGTAATGAAACATGAGATCGTACGACAGAGAAGTACATCCCTAACGTTGTTGTGAGTTACTAAACTAAAATAAATGATTTTCTGTCGATGTAGATTTTCGGGTCGGAGAACAAACATTTGCAACGTTGCCGATTTTAGCGCTCCGTATAGTGTGCAATACCTAATCAAAAACTTAACGCACTGTATAACCTTCTACGCCTCATAATACAGGGTAAGATCGCCGGAAGGAGAGGACCAGACCGAAGAAGAACATTCTCCGAAATATCCTAGAATGGTATCAAGGGACCACTGCTAATTTATTTAGAACCTCCGTAAACAAAGTTATTATTGCCAATATGATTGCTAACGTTCGATAATCGGACAGGGTGCTGAAAGAAGAAAGAACGTTAGAAAGATTATGATAATGATATACCAGTAGTATATTCTAAAGTTGTTTAGTGATTAATACAAAATCGTCTTGTAGAGCACTTTAATAATATACCTAATATACTTTATAGGTTCACTTAGATTAAAAGATAACAACCCATTGAGTCATCCTTTAATATTTGCCAATTACTTTACACATCCTGATGATATCAAGGTGATGATAGAAGGAATCAAAGTGGCACTAAGGCTATCTGAGACTAAAGGTAAGTTTATTAAGACTAATTTGTATTAATTTTAATTAATATGCATATTCTTAATCAGCTCTTCGAAAATATGGCCTACAGCTCGATAAAACTCCAGTGCCTGGATGTGAAAAATTCTCCTTTGGTTCTGATAATTACTGGGAATGCGCTGTTAAGCAACGGACAGGTCCAGAAAACCATCAAGCAGGAAGTTGTAAAATGGGTCCTCCAACAGATCCACTAGCTGTTGTTAATCCAAAATTGCAGGTATGCAAATTCATATTGTTTATTTTATTGCCAATTATATTCGTGTTTGAAATTATATTTTTATTTATTTAGAATATATTTTATAGCAGACTTTTGTTCCTTACGGTAATGTTTTATTTAGCAAAGGTTAGCTATAAGAGGAGGATCGAGACATAGGAATTAAGACAACTGAAAGGACTATTTAAAATCTATTGCAGTTAGAGCATGAAGAAGAGTTGTCAAAGACTGTTGTGAATGGAGAATTGTCATGGAGAAGGCTTTGACTCATAACGAGCTATGATGTGATACCACTGATGATAATGTATCTTAAGTTGCTCTCTATCTAGTGGTAACTTAGGTTCAATGTTTTACAAGTAATATATTTTGCTGTTCTTGGTAATTTACGACATATTCTTAATCTAAGTTTTTCATCTTAAGTTTGTATATATGTTCTCTAGTTTAAAGTTGTGTGTCTACTTCATCATATGTTGGTCGTTTTAAAACTGCTCCAATAATTTTGTTTATTATATTTACGATAGAGATTCTCATTATTAAATCTCTAGCTTATTATCTATTATAAACTGGTCTAAACCACAGTTAATTGGCTAATTGTACTTTTTTAATTTATTTATGATATCTATTAAAGAATTTTGGAACCCTTTATCCGCTTATACAGCTCTAGTAAATGGCTACCACAAGTATTTTTAAAGTCACTTGGTTATATCCAAAAAGTGTGTACCGCCTGCTATCTATTGCCTCGAAGTCACGCAAAATATGGTTGACTATTTGGTATTCGCTGTTGCAGAATCACCAGCCTAAGTCTTTATGAAATAACTTTATTGTATGCAAATGTCAATAGTCTGGCGAATATCCAACATGACAACTGATTCCTGCTTATTTTCCGCAGTACTTCAACTCTATTAGCGTTTGTTACAATACATATTTTTCCATGTGCTTAATTAAATATACCTTTCCATAGTTCTACACTATCAAAAGCTTTTTCATAATCTATAAAAGCCAGACATAATGGGGGAGATTTTATTCGTTAGTCTTTTCTATTAGGATTTTCAAAGTATATAGATGGTCACAGGTGTCACAGTCAAATTTTATTGTTAACTTGTTTGTAATAATCTTTATAAAGGTTTTGTACATGGACGTATAAATAAAGATCTTTATTTATACGTCCATGGTTTTGTAAAGTTGTAAAAGAAGTCTCTTTCATGTGAAAATTAAGAGATTTGAAAATGTGGTAAGTAATGACGATAATTTTATGTTTAGGTTCATGGTGTTGATCGTCTTAGAGTCATAGATGCAAGTATAATGCCCAAAGTTCCCTCTGGTAATACAAATGCACCGTGCATCATGATAGCAGAAAAAGGATCAGACGCAATCAAATCGAGGTGGTTGACTCCAGAACACGGCTATTTTTATTCTAATACGCCCAGCCAAAGAATAGAAAGGCATTGGGGACCGTGGTAGAGAAGTTTGTAAATATTTAATTAAAACTTTTTAATTTATGTTAGAGTTAGACTTTGTTAAGTAAATACAATTAATGATATATTTGTAAAGTGATAATTTTATTATTGTTTCTTTGGTTTTGTATATAATAAAAAGTTTTTATCTATTTTTTATTCAGTCTATTTTATCTATAGGAGTATCGTCTAATCTAGGTTTTTAAACTTAGGACATTGAAGTACTAACTTAACCTTCCAGTACACGCTCGAATTACATACATAATCCATTGAATTTTATAATATTGCTATTCGGACTATACTGTATATAAAGTTGCCTATCTTCTTATCCTTCAGGGCATAGTACATATAAGGAACTGTTTTAGTATAGAACATCCCAGAGGTACTTTTCAGTGCGTCACAGTTTTTCGATTTCTTTCTAATGCATTAAGTTGGATGTGAGGAGAAAGCGGTAGTTCCGTGATTAAACAGAAATATATTGCAGCGTTATAATAAGCTTACATACATAAGCGGTTCTTTCCTAACCTACGTTTGATTCGTTGATATTTAGATGCGCATTTTCTCTAGCCAATCAAATACGCCTATTACTGACAGTTGACGTAAAACTTCGTCCATGCTGGCCATTCTTTCGAAGTGTTCCAACAGCAAATGACGGCTGTCGTTCAGGTCAGTATTTGCAAAGAATATAGACGCTATATAATATATTTATATTCTTTGGTATTTGTTTTGTATAATTTTATTTTGTATTATTTTATTTTACATAGTATTATGTTTGTGGTTTATTTGTATTTATACAAGATGACAAGATATACGGAAAAAGAACAAGTTCTAATATTAAAAATGCTTAAATATTTTCAAATAGAAAAGAAAGCTGGATAAACATTATTACCAATTTCTGCTGTTCGTGAAGTAAGTTGAAAATTACCCTGAAAATAAAATTGTTTTATTTACTGTTTATTTCAGCGTATTGCTGAGGTGTTAGAAATTTCTTTGCCAACCATAAGGCGATTAGCAAATGAAGGAATACAAAAAGATTCGGATTATACCAATAAAGTAAGCGAATCAGTAGCCACTATTTGTGAACCCAACTTGATTTTAAATAAATACCAACATACCATTAGGACTTATAAATGAGTAGGAGAAACTTATTAATGAGTATTGGGAGACTGCCAAAAGAATTGACATAAACTCCATAGCTCCAGTAATTATCGATTTAAATTAATCGGATTCTGACTTGTCAGATGACGATTTTGTTGGCTGATACTCAACTGTTTTTCGTTTGATTCGCAAATTTTGATATTTGGGTTACATTTATTATTCTGTTCAAAAAAATATATTTTTTTCAAAAACATTTTGAAATACAAGGGCGTGCTGTAATGGGAACATTAGCTATTTGTATGGTATTTTTCAAAACACCATTCAATACACATAGTTTTTTCACCATATTGCGACCTTTGTATTTACTTGACCTAGTGGTTTAATGGTATCATAATTGGATAACATAGAACACTATTGTCATACCATTTCACACACAAAATTTCATTAGTTTTGTTAAATCTATAATCATATGCATTTTTCTTCATTAGCTTTCTGCATTACTGGTCATTTTACAGTTCCTGTTGCGTTTACATTTTTTTGTTTCAGATATTCATTAGTTGATACGTCATAAAATGTTTATCGACAAAATTTCATTTGTAGATGGTTCAGGCAACTATTTCAAAATATCAGTTATTATTTTAGCTCCAAGTGGTCTTTTTTAATAGTACCATTTGCTTTTTTCGGCAACAAACGTAAAAACCATAATGATATCCAGTGGAATCAATTATAATCCAATTCTTATATTCACATCTGACTGGCTTCTCTCTAATTAACTGTTTAGCTAAGTTATGATCAAAATATTTCACCATGGAGAGAAGTACTAACAATTAAGAGGAGAAAAGTGAGATATATGGGTCATGTGATGAGAGAAGATAAATATCTAATACTCCAGATCATTATGCAAGAAAAATCCGAAGAAAAAGATCCATAATAAGAATCCGTAATAACGACTTATTTAGAGCCGCTGTCTCAATATTAAAAATCGCTGTGATGATTGCCAACTTTCGACGCAAGACAGCCCCTTGAGAAGAAGAAGATACAAAAATTCAATAAATGAATAATTTTTTCGTTAATTTCGAATGTTTTCATATTTATAAAGTTAATAAACAATATTGTTTACTTTTTATTAATATACAGGATTACCCCCTGTGGCTAAGTACGATCCTGGAATCTGTTAGATTCTTCAATAATTATATGAAATAATGCTCGACACACCTAATTCATTCTATGACGTCATAATTAATGACGCACTGAAAAGTACCTCTGCGATGTACTTTTTGATGTAAGTAGGTATAAGAAATAGATTGTGTTATGTTACCATTGTAATCCACGCGTGTACTTCTTCATCCTCAAGTGCCATCTCTGCGCCGGAGGTCGGAAATAATCATAGCTATTTGGACTTTTGAGACGGCTGCTCTGAAAAGTTCATTTGATGTACACTCTCTCATATTGCGCTGCACAGCCATGACATTCTACGCCTCTCTATGCTAATCTTTCCTTGGATCTTTCCCTGCTTAATCAGTTGGAGCAAGGTGTAGTTCTTTCCACGTGTAATATGTCCGAGATATTCAAATTTTCTTGTTTTAATTGTATTTAAAATTTATTTGTAGTTCTTTATTCATCCTTCTGTGAAGCGCTTCGAAAGCCCTTATCAAAGTGGCTTTCGAAGAGTAAAATCGACGTCAGATAACCATGTTACTTTACAAACCTCAGTTAATGAAGCTTTTGCAAACAACCAAAAGCTGATTGCAATTTTTTTTATATAAGCCAAGCATTTGAGAGAACTTGGAGACACTGCATTTTAAAAAATCTAAGCGATAATGCGATTCAATGTAACAAACTAGCATTTGTAAACAATTTTTTAAATAATTGATCAATAGAAATAAGGATAAATGGCTTTTAAAGCTCAACAACATTAGATAATGGAATCCCTAAAGGTTTTATAAAAAATCCAACATTATTCTTAATTGCTGTTAAAAGTGTTATTTAACTATTAAAAAACTACTTTAAAAAGGCTTAACAGTATTCAATCTACAGCTTTGAGATTGGCACTGGGTGCATTGAGAACTAGTACCACTAGTAATTTACAAGTTCTAGCTAAAAAGCCACCTCTAAACATAAGTCGACAACAATTATCACTAAACTACATTGCCAAAATTTTAATTTAAAAACAACTTTCTCTTTTTTCTCAAATTTTTCAACCTGGCATCCTCTCTTTTAAAAAGACAAAAAACTATATTCCTCTGATAGAAAGAAGAAAAGCCACAAATTTTAACATGGATCAACTTAGTCTTTTGCTATATATAAATGCAATCTCTCCTTCATGGACATCCCACCTACTGACAATTGACCTCTCTTTGTTAACAATTTTCCATCCACTCCTGAATGTATGTCTCTCCCAATTGCTTCCATCTGTCTCTATCTCGCGCCAATATATTCCACTGTTTGCCTGCCACTGCTCTTATGTCATCTACCCATCTTTTTTGAGGTCTTCCCATGCTTCTTGTTGTCGTCTTTGGTCTCCATTCTAGAATTCTCCGTGTCCACCTGTTGTCATTATATCGGGCTACGTGACCTGCCCAGCACCATTTTATTTTTGTAACTTCTTCAGCAATATCCCTGATCTTCGTTCTACGTCTTATCTCGGTGTTTTTAATCTTGTCTCTCACTAGTATTCCAAGCATGAATTTCTAATTTTTTTAGCAGATTTTTTGGTAAGGGCTACTGTCTCCAAGCCGTAGGTAAAAACTGGTAGTATGCATGTTTTATGCACCTTTTTGTTTAAGTTTACAGGAATGGAGGTGTTTTTCAAGATATGTGCTAGTTTGCCGAAAGCGCCTCATGCCAGTTGTAATCTTCTTTTAATTTCAGCATCTTTATTTGGTTTTCCTAGTTTGATGACATGACCTAGATATACATAATGTTCAACATTTTCTATGGTATGATTTTGTATTGTTATATTTGGCTGCTCTCGGATCAGTATTTTTGTTTTACTGCAGTTCATTTTTAATTCTACCGCTTCTGAAACTGCGTTTCATGAATCTCAAGTGATTTAAGTATGATCCGTCGACGTTGACACCGTCGTTGTTCCAATCTAATTTCTTAAAAATGTCTTCTAGAGCAAGGGTAAATAGTTTGGGAGAGATGGTGTCTCCTTGTCTTACTTCCCGTTATAGTCTGATGGGATTAGTTTTTGTGCTTTCGTCCAGCTTTATCTGCATGGTGGCATTTTCATATATCTATGTTTTTAATTATATTATTGTATCTTGAATCGATACGTGCATTTTTTAGAGATTCAAGCACTGTCCATGATTCGATGGAATCGAATGCTTTATGGAAATCGACGAACGCCATATGAATTGAAACATTATACTCGATGCATTATGATATTAATTTAAATGCTGAATTCTTATTTTTCCTTATCGACACGTTATTTAACATAAAGACTCATACTCATCAATATTCTAAGTACCTACCTAATATCTCGCATCAATCCATATCGATTAAATGATATTAAATATTCAAACCCAACTTTATTTTACTTCATATTTGTTTCTGTCAGCATTACGAGTAGAAAATAATAAGGTTTTCTCTGGACACGTTGTCTGACCTACTTTTATATTTAACAAAATATATAGATGGTGATGATTATTACCTGTTTACTATACCAAGTTTTCAAATAAGGGCGTAATTAAAAACATGAGCCATAAAAAGTTTGAACATTATCCAATATAAATATCTACGTTTTATTTTAGGATATCGAAATTAATAAGGTTCTAAAACTTCTTTATTATTCTTTATTATTGCATTCTAAATTAAATATTATGTTTATATGGGGATACAATTGATTGTATTAAAAATTACACTTTTCAAACCTAATTTTCATTACAATCAATTTTGGCTCTATCCCGTATAAACATAATAATTATCCAAGTTTGGATAATAATATAACTTATATAGTTTTTTATCCTAGAATTATTGTTGAGGTTTAGCAAAATAAATTACTTTGTTGTTTTTACTAGCATTAACTTGTTATTAAAATTTTTATAACAAATC